GTATTGAACCAAAAACGAATACATTCGTCTCTCACTTCCTCACTTCCTCAAATTTAAGCAAAAAAACTCGTTCCTTTAATTAGTAATCCGCTTGGGTTTTTTTTTTTTTTTTTTTTAAATTTATTGAAATTTTGTATCTTTGTACTTTTTTTTCTTCATGTAAAAAGCTTGAATCTTTACAGAGATTGATAAATCCAAAGTCCTCAAGCTTATATTGGATTTCTGGGTTTTGTGAAAAAAATGATGACTTCAACTTCATGTCTGAATATAGAGTTAGGTACGAGTGTGTTTGATCCGATCGCATGTGGTTGTCGTCAGTTTCCGTTAAGCAATCTCTCGAAGACGGTTTGTAAAGTTGGTCTCACGAGAAGCTATGGCAGTGGAAATCTGGTGTTTCTCCGGCGAGACATTGGGAGCTGTTCCGACAAAATCCAATGAGATCTCTTTGGTCGAAGGTAATGGATTCTCAGAGTTCGTATACTACTAATCTGATTTTAGATATTTTTTGGTTCATGTGATTTGTATTTATGTGTTTGATTAGATATCTAACTGATTTGAATAAATTGTTCTGGTCTCTTATAATTCTGGTATCAAGAGTGGCCGTGTAGCTGGTGATTTCATCTTGGGTGCTGCAGTGTAAATCTTTCATCTTGTTTCTGGATCGAGCGAATAAAACTAAAGATGCTTATTATATAAATTGTAAAGTTGAAGATGCTTATACATTGAGTGGATATTGGTGATGATATCAGAGTTCGAATGTGACAAGTTGTTATAGAGGTCGAAGCAGAGCCTTTGTGTAATACGCGAGTGCCAGGAGAGTGAAAGTGTTCCCTATAGAGTGTATAATGTATACATTACATTCATCTTGAACACTCCCCTCATTTCCTGCAAATATTCATACAAAGCAAAATAAAAATGTTTTTACTTCCAATGTATAGTGGAGTTCTATTAAAAAAAAAAATTTACCTCTTGCATCCAATTGCGAATTTATCAAAACTTTTGCAGCACGATGCACCGGTAAAGGGTCTATCTCCATCTGACCACCCATAATTAGTACCATGAGTGCTTGTCCTGTATTCACCACATTGGTTCTGTTTCCATCCAAAGGAGTATATTCCTTGTTGGGACAAGAGAGATAACTTTCACCCCAACCGCCTTCAACGTTTTGTGTCTCGACAAGGAACCCAACCGCTCTACGAATCGCCTCACAGTTACGGTAAGTATTTCCCGCAGCCACTAGACCTCTTACCGCGAAAAAGGTACCATAAATGAAACACACTCCCCAATTTCCATACCATTCAGCATTTGTAAGTCCTTTTATGTATTTCACTCCCTTTGTTATAAACCTCTCAACTTCTTCTGTTCTGTGCATTGGAAACTATTGCTTGAACTTGGCCAATGCTATTATTGACGACCCCGTGCATTCTACATACCTGATGATCGATCTGATAGCTTAAGTACAGTCCCGACCAAATATTGTATATATTCAACAAAAAATAGAGAGATAAAGAAAGTACTCATGCTCCACGGTTGTGTTTTCCATAAACTCCACTGGACTTAGCCACTGCATTGAGATGATGCATTTTTATTACTAAATCACTCTCTTTTTTTTTTGGTTCATTTATATCCAGTTTTTACCAAGAGCTGGCTCCCACGCCGATACTCCTCCATGCTTGCTCTGTTTTACATTATCAGATTTTGAGTCACCAAGAACCAGAGTTAGTTTTTGGTACCAACATGTACAAGAACTTTATTTTAAATCAAGATTTTTATTTACCTGAATTGACAGCATCACAGAGTCTCTTTACATGCATTTTCTCACCAATGATCTCGGATGGTATGCTTTCAAAGATCAGGCAGCACTAGAGGAAGAGTTTACGAATGAATTAGTATATAATTAAGCGACATGGAATCAAACAGAGTATGCACCACCTCTAAACTCTCAGCAGTACAATCAGAAACAGGCCATCCTTGATCTTGGTCTGAAAAAGTCCAACCGCCTTTCGTAATCTCTCGGAACATTTTCCTATGGTCACGAGGAGGATTCTGTGTAATCTGAGATTTCTTCAAGAAATCGTATCCTTTGACCAACGTTGATCTAATAATGTCATCATCAACAACATCAGTAGCAGCTAACATTACTTGGAGCGATAAGGCCGTATCCCACAACTGGCTACCAAAAGACTGCACCAAGTAACATCCATCTTAATGTAACTCTAAGAGTTTTTGAGAGGCAGAAGAATAATAGATTTAACCAAATACACAAGTTTTTAACCTGGATTTTCAGACCATCCTCGCCAATCCATATGCAATCCGGGATTCGAGCAAGATGCTTCTTAAAGTAATCACCCTTTGAGTCTTCTAGCCAACAAGCAAGCATATGAAACGGCTATGTAACAAGAAAATTAATATATTTATTTTCTTCACATCAATAAGTAATAGAGAAAAGGATCAGGACATGTAGACTAGTGGTTTGTGCTAATACCGTAATCGAATTGCCACACAGATTCAAACCCGCATAATAAAAAAACGGAAAAGATAAATACCTTTTGTACACATCCACCAGTAATGTATCGGGTGACTTAATCATGGTAGTGAATGAGTTCCATTGTTTTTCGGAGAGCTCTTTGTCTTATGAGCTTGTTGAAAGGCCATTGATTCAAGACATTCTCTGAGAACATATGAACACTTTTCCAAAACAAGTCTTGTACAAATGATTGTGGATAGTATAACATAATCATGACATTTAATTTATTTATGTTCATCCATTAGTTAATCTTGCATGTACTTAAGTTTCCATTGTTTTCGTTTATGTTTTGCATCTTAGAATATTGTGTGCTTAACTTCAAATAAAGTCTAAAATATATATAAAAATCAACATATAAACAAAAAAAATGTTTAGAATCAATCAACGCATAGGAATACCTTTGCGCATCGTTGGCGAGCTTGGCCCCAATCGATTTTGTTGTAAGGTTGAGGATAGATCTCTTCTTGAAGCTGCATGATTAGAGGTGTTGGGCTAGCGACACTTTTTTTGCCATACAAGTATGACACGCCTATGAAAATGTCCCGGAAATAAATCCAAAGAGTACCTGTATTTATGAAATTAATTACATTATGAAATTATTGGACCGACTCATTACTAACTCAAGAAAAAATGTTAACACATCATAGAAATTCATGTGAACCTCCATTGATGGGAGAAGAAGAAGGGAGCATCCAAAACTCAGGCGGTATCGGTTTGCAACCAGACCAATCATACACACCAAGAACCTATTTATGTGAGAAAATTAATTGGGAACATTTCCGTTAATTAATTGATGAAATTTTACAAATACAGTATGACGTTTAAAAAAAATAAAGATGAATTGTAGATGATATAAGTATATATACCGACAGCCAAATCTTTCCAATCAAGGGCGTATAAGTGGCACCACCGTGGTCGAGGATCCACTTTCGAGCCCTTGCACAAACACTTTCTTGACCATCATGATCGGGGCTCTATCCCGAAAATTCTTAGACAAATGTAGTTGATGACCGTACAGAACATAACACTGTGGCTCTCCACATGTATTCCCCGCCCACCATCATCGTTCTACAAATGAATACGTACGTATATAATTTATACATCAGTCCCTCAAGGTTTATTAGTACCAAGTTCTTTTTTTGACGGCTATTAGTAGCAAGTATTTATCTATCTTGTTCTAGTTGATTCAAAGTCAAGATGTACAAGTAAAACCTCAAGGATTTTAGAGTTGTAATAATTTATTTACACAATTAATGAAATAAAAAATATAGACAAAAGGGTATTTCGCCTCAGTTTGTTCTTATCTATTTATGTACATATGTCTTTATATGTGTCACAGTGTCACATATGTACGTACCTGATGGTTGTACATGTAACGCAATAGCTCTTTGCGATGCTCCAATGAGAAGACTTTATCCAGATGCCCAGTGATGTACAAGCATATGATCTATGAATTGTTTTCATTTTTAAAGATATTATTATTTGGTTTCATAGAGAGTCAGTCACTAACTATATTGATAAATAACCAAATAGAGTATGCATAGCTCACATAAGGGGCGTTGAAGAACATGGAACCAGAATTTTCAGCAAGCCAATGTCCATTATCAGATTGCAAGGCCGCGAAATAGAGTACCCCTCTTCTCAGTGCTGTCTTGGCATCTTCATAAGTTATCTTCTCTTCATCTTCTATTCTCACTCGTGGAATCTTCTGCTCAAACTTCTTCTCCCTTAGAAACTATACATAATCATGCCACCGAAAAAAGGCAAAAAAACAAAAAAACAAGCATATGGTTAGTTTTGCTAATTATTTTCGGGATAGACGGTCTAACTAGCCAGATTTGGTTTCAAGTTTGGTGTTGTATTTGAGCATTCACATAATTTTGCCGACCCTAAACATGATATATAGCTCTAAGGTCCGAACTACCTAAATACCAAAAACAGAAAACTAGTCCCTTTGGTTCAAAATATACGTTTCACTAAAAGCGCATAGTTTTAAAAATATTTAACTTTGACTTAAATTTTTTTAACTAATTTATAAAAGCGATGGCAGTCATTACAAAATACTGAATCAGTTTATAATTTACGTAGAAATTTGAAAACATCTTATAGTATAAACACACAAAAAAAATAATTCTAAAATATCTTATATTATGAAACTAAAGGAGTATAGTGTAGAAGGTTCACCTGGATGCGCCAAAGTAGATCGGCACTAGTCTTGAAAATAGAACGATTGGCAGAGAAATTATCTCGAGCCTTATTGACCTCAGCGAGTTCCTCAGGAGAGCCTGCCTCTTCATCAAATTCCCAAATTTGCCAACCGGCATAATTGTTGGTTGAGAACAAGTAGGTATTGTCTCCAGTTTCAGCTCCAATTCTCAGCCTCCACATTTTTGTATCGATCCTCCTCTCTAGTCCTATAATCACTAAGAACAAAGATATTTAGTATACATTTTGTGCATGTAAAGGCTTTATGTATGCATATTTGTATCTATGATCTTACCTTGACGAGTCCTCTCTCATTAGGGAAGGAGACTAGTAAAACCTATTTATATAGTTTTTAGTGGATGCTTCTAGCTAGTTATTGGATGGGATCTTTATTTTAATCTATAATGTTCCCGGAATTAATTAGGCTCAGTTTGCTTATTGTAGAGGGATTACGTACACTGCGTTACAATTTTTATTCTACGTGCATTAACTATTTTTCTTTCTTTCTTTAAATAGCTACTACATGTATACATGTGTGTGTGTGCGTGTGGTTTGATAAATCTTTTAGTAGTAAGAAGCATTGCTAGCCAAACGATTCATTATTCATAATAATTGTGATCTTTTTCTTTTTTTTGGTAACCTTCACTTTCACAATCATGTGTCCATCTATTAATTTTGACAGCAACTTATTGCTAACGTTAAAAACAGAAGTTTTGCATCAAGCAATATGAATTAGAGTACTAGAGAGTAAATGCTGGTGGTTGTAACTTGTAACCACCAAAGCAACTACAAATCTCCACAGATAATATCACTATGTAATTATCTCAATATAGTTGCATTAATTACGTGCAAGATTGCTTAATTAAAAACAAAGGAGACCAGATTAAATAAAGTTAATTAAGATTAATATCTCCCAAGTACTCCCAACTATGCTAGCTAAAAACCTTAAAGAATTATCTTGAACTGCAGAATTAAATGAGGTCGTTTGGAAAAAAGGCGATAATGGTTGAAGTCAAGTACAAATCATGACTCAAAACGCAAAGAGTAGTATAGGTAGTTGTCATACTTAATCATCCATATTTTGGCTTAGGCTAATCTTTAAGAAAATCTTAAAAAAATTATATATTGGATGTTATTTATTGTTGGATTCCAAACCTTGCATTTGTAGTCTTCCATATAAACCGCCCTTGGTTTTGTTTGTTCTGAGACTTTATGGGTGAAATGTTGAGCTTTTGGCATTATTTAAGACTGAAATTGAGTTTTTTAGTTGTTGTAAACTATTAACATTGAGAGGAACTATTATCATATCTCAAATTTGGTCATGCGATGACATGTGTTCGTGAATTTCGTATATCTCTGATACCTTCGTTATATAGACTATAATCCATAAATGATTCACTGTACATGGAGAGTTTGTAATACCTTCGATATGAGTCCAGAAATGATACAAAACATTTTCCTAACGTTTACTAGTATGACTTTGGATTGTTTCATTTTCACTTTTCAATCTCTGTCCAAACGGATAGAGATTTCATTCAATTTGAGAATTAAATTGGAATGCGGAAGAAATTATTGGAATGTGTTTTACAACTCCTCTGTTTTTTCTCCTCTGTTTTGCTACTCTCTTTTGTTACATTGCTCTTGCAACTGCTCAGGCTTTATATGAAATTGGGAGTGAGTTCTTTTGTATTCCAACGAGTCTGTGTGCTTCACAAATGAACTTTCTTTTTCTTCCAGGATTTATAATCAATCCAAAAATTTACTGTTTTTATGAGTATCTTGGCTGAATTATGTTTTCTATTGAAGGACTCACACACATACACATTTCTGGGAAGCAGCAAAATGATTTATAAGATTACATATTATAAATCTGATTCTCAAGATTTGATGTGAATTATGGTTCACTTGGGAGACTTGGAGAGATGTGTATAAGCAGTTCCTTGGTGAAATGAAGGAATGGTGCCCTAATCAACTCACATTCTTGGACCACCGAGAAATCGTAATATGCGAAAAGATGGTGAAGGAACATTGCGATTTGAAGCCTTGCAAACTCTGCTCCTGCACAGAGTCTCACTCCACCACCAAATACCATGAACGTTTTCGATCCCCAAATCATTTCTTTCCCCTGTCATCCAAAAATTCCATTGAGGTCTTAAGTACACAAAATGTTTACAAATGATACATGGAGAGAAAAGCGGTTGAAAGTAGACTTAGTATATATATATATATACCTTCCATCTCCAAGGATTAAACTTCAAAGGGTTTTCGTATATTTCTTCATCAAAATGAATCAATGAAGGCGACACCGCCACAATCCAACCCGCTGGAACCGTGTATCCTGTGTGTTACCAATATTCCCCCCACAAAAATACTATTAACTTTTAATTAACATTAGTTTCTGAATAGTGTCACGCTTGAGAGTACTATATACTTGCCTTTGATTTCGACATTGTTCACAGCCTTTCTGAACATTACATTAGTCAAGTTTGCCATCCGAAGAGTCTCATTGATCACCTGCGTGCAACATATACTCTGTTTTTTTTTTGTTTTTTAAAGGTTCCTCATTGTATACTTGAATTATTACATCTGTTGAGTTAAAAAAAAAAAATTACCATGTTGGTGAAAGTCATGTTGTGTCTGTATTCTTCCCAACTAACTCCAGTTTTCTTATCTTCTCTGTTCTCAACGATTATCTTATGCTCATGCTGTGCCACATTATCTATGACTCTATCAAACTCCATCCATACTTCTTCTTAAGATGATAGCCAACATTTAAGGTTTTTTGTTCGATATAGGTTACCTTGATTTCCGCAAGAACTTTTGGGTTTTCGGATATGAATTTCAAGGCCAAAGCAATACCATTAGCAGGTCCTTCTTTAGCAAGGACTAATAAAGAGAAAATGAGGCTTAGAGCTGATCCTTCATCCAAAATAGTGTCTTCTTTATCCAACTCTTCAAGCACCGTATCAAGAAAATCTCCATGCTTCTCTCGTGACTCTTTCCTCCTCTTTAAAACGTCCTTTAACGCCTTGGTTGCTTCTCTGCGTGCCTAGATGCAACAATATAGATTTTATATCAAAACTATAGCTTCTTTTCAAAACTAGTCGAATGCTAGTGAATTAATGGCTCATATCCCTTAAACATGTATTAGATTATAGATTTTATGTCACCTTAAAGACTTTGTTCAAAGCCTTCCAGGTAGAAAGAGCAAAGGGTGACTGAAACCAATCATGACTAAAAGCCATGAAATTATCAGTAAGCTTTGTTTGCGTCTCTTGTTTGAGGTTACTTATCATCTTTGGTGTCATGGTTGTCATTACCAACTGCAAAGGAAGAGTTATTCAAGCAAGAAGAAGTGGTCAAAAGACAAACTATAAGATTTGTACTTCCTTACTTTTGAAACTGCATCCCTAACATTGAATGCCTCCTCACTAGCCTTTGATCTAAGATGATCACCGATCGCTTGGTCTATGTTTCCTATCATCTTTCTTTTCAAACCATCGGGTCCAAGGAGATGGAGAGTGATTTGTTTGATGTACTTGTGGATGTTCCCTGTCTTGAAGAACAAATTATCTTTTCCGAGTACCTTGACAAACATGTCCGGATAGCTAAACACGAAAGACTGGTTCTCTTGCCGGAAAATCTCAAAGTTAATATCTCGGTCTGTCGAAAATACGGTTTTGGAACCGAGAATGTTCGTTCGAAATAAAGGCCCATACCTAAAACATTGTACATATGTATCACATACATCAAATTTAGTTTGTGGCAAAGCAACCTAAACCACAGCTTAAACCTCCATTGAAATTTGAAGTTTGGATATAAATCATATATCTCTATATATAACTGGTTATAACAATCATTTTACTTAATTTTTCCAAATTTTTTTTTATTTTTTCGTATTTCAACTAAAACAAGTATATACAAAATGTAATTATCGTTAAAGTCATTAGAAACGTAATTTGGTGTTCTTGAAAATATATGAATAACAGAATGAGAATGATCACAAATCTTAATATTGTTATGATCCTATGGACATCTATAAAGTTTGGACCGGGCGTAACGTAAGTACAAACGTCTGTTCTCGTTGTAAGAAAGGAGATATATGGAGTGAAATCTAACCTTAACAACCTCTTTTTGAAAAAGGGTTGAATCTCATAGAATCCATGGGGCTTAAAGAAGTCGACTGTCTCTCCAATGATAGGAAAACCCATTGAACCCGGTGGTAACATGCCAGTGCAATTAGGCCGGTTAGGGTTTGACCATCGGTACAACCAGTGGCTGATCCTCACAACCACTATAGCTATAGTCAACATCGCAACATTCCACATGAAACTCATCCTACACTTACACTGCCTAAATTGTTGACCTTTGCTAGATATAATTTAGTTTATGCAGAGATCTTATACATAGCATTTTTGTTCTTACTAAAGAAAATGTTAAGATATAAAAAGAAATTGATTTATCCCATCAAATTATGTCATGTCATTTTATATGAACTATTTTATGTTTTTGATGATTATATTTAGTTAGAGTAAAGATAAATTGATTTCATTCACTTTAGATCAATTTATTATTATTTTATTTCAATAAACTTATAAACAGTAGTTAAG